TTCTATTGAAGACACCTTGTCCCTTCACATTCAGTCTCAAGATCATTGTTATTTCCCTGAGGTGTTTCATGCTGACAGATGGGCTTCAGAAGGGAGTTTGGAGAGATGAAGGACTTGCAGAGAAAGAGACACAGAATCGAGGTATAAAGATAAAATGGAAGAGGGGGGGAAAGTGTTGGAGAGAAGCAGAGGCAACTTTTTCCATTAGTGTCATTAAAGCGACCCTGACGCTAAGGGTGGAAGGACAAACAGTGAATGGATGGAAATAACATCCCCCCCTCCCGTCTCTATCTTTACCTGTGTTAAAGGTTTCCATTCATCCTTGGTGTGCTGTTAATGATTGTATTCTCAGCTTGGTGCCTTATAGAGTTCTTTAAAGCTGAGAGATCCAGTGTCACATTATAGAACAGGAATACAGAGCAAAGGGTGTGATAATCATATACCTATACCGTGATAATAATAATATCTGTATCACTCTTTAAAGTTTACCCTTTTCCAGTGGTTGAAAATGCCTGTCAAGTGTTTATTTTTCAGGATGTACAGGATTTCCTTGTCCCTAAATCCAAGCCACAGAAGGGCCTCTGTTGTTGAAAATGTGACTGGTTTTTGAGAGCAGTCTGCTCTGTCTCAAGAGCGACTCAATAAGGAGGGTAGTCAATATGGCTGCTCTCAGATGGTGGGTCAATGAGGGAGGAGGCTTCCTGCTGAGCCAAGGGTAGAATAGGAGAGAACAGGGGGTCTTTGTGTGGAGAGCAGACCCTCACCCACTCCTCTTTACTGCCTTTTCTGGGATATCACACCTAACGTTAAAAGACTGACTTATTCTAATGCGGGTTGGTACAGGGGAAAAAAAAAAAACATCCACAAGTGAGTTATCCAGTTTTTACAAGTTACTGTTCTGTGAACACATTACCTAAGTTCACATACACCGTACCTCGACAGTAAGCCCTGTAACATCTAAAAATATGCTCTCAGCACTGGCTCAAGATGGGAAATACAGTGCTAGCTCCGTGTCTCCATTCTGTCTCTCATCTCAGAGCGAGAGAGAAACTGGGAGCGAGAGAGCAAGGCAGCATATCAGGGCACCACCTTAAGCTGGGCTCCCAAACCTTTTATGTCTGCTGAGCAAAGTGGATTTGGGACAGAGGTAACAGCCCGTACTTATCAAGCAGACAACCTCATTTTCTAGTCCCTTGCTCTCCTCTCCCTGGTTCTCACTGGTTGCCTGTTGTGGTGGTAACTATTTTTCAAAGACAAACGGGGTCTCCCACACTGCTTGGCCACACTTTAATGTGCTTTCTGACACCCCCTCCCTCCTTTAACTCTGCAGCTGTGTTGTTAAAAGCCTGCAGTGTTTGACTACTAATAAATTCTGGCATAAAGATGTGCATGTTCTCCATCGCCAACTGTAAGAATCATTTAAGAGAAAATAAATGTAATGCTGGTGTACTTTGTATTACTTAATAAAAACTACGATCATCATCTGGACCCATGCATATTATTGTTTTACACACTACAGGACAGAAAAGTTTCTATACAATTGTTGTAAAATTCATCTCATCTCTTCTTTTCATTATTTTTTGTTTCAGCGAGGTTTGGTTAGATTTTTTCCTTGCACTTTAATGATGTATGGGAACATACGCTCTGTTGAGTTTTCTGTCGATGAACACTTCAGAATACGTCAAGAGAATACAGCTTGTTCTGTAGGTGTTCATTAGAAACTCCCAACCTTGTTAGGTGCCAGACGTAAACTTTTCCTTGGCTTTGACCCAAAAGTTCAAGTTCAAGTTTAACTTTGAACTATGAAAGCTTTGCTTATGATTTGTAGCGGGCGGCTGTGGCGCAGAGTCAGAGCGGGTCATCCCTGGCTCCTGGTGCCACATGTCGAAGTATCTTGAGCAAGATACTGAACCCCGCAATTGCTCGATGCCTTGCATCGTGTGTGGAATTGTATGAAGCATTAGTTCTGCTCGATAGGCTTGCCATCGCTGTTGTGAATGTGTGTGGAAAGGGGAATGTGGCACGTATGTAAAACCGCTTTGATGGTCGAAAGACTAGAAAGGCCGCTCTACAAGTACAGGATCCATTTGCCATTTGCCATTTAGCTTCTCTATATGCTACAAAGAATAGAAAACAAAGGATGGTCAACAGTTTTGAAGCTTTGAAAGATATTTGGCAGCTGATGCCACTCTTCACATCAAAATATTTGTTTAGTCTGTGCGTAGTAGGTCCAGCATTGATTACACTGTCCCTCCTTCCTGTTATTGGAGTTTGCACTTTGGTCACTACCAGTGGCATCATTGTTTTGCTTTCTTGGTTGTGTGTTTGTCTGTCAGCAGGTATTGGTGGTATCAAATGGAGCTTTTGGGGTAATTTTCAGATGAAGATATTGTGAAAAACTTATTTTAAAGTTAAGCTAAGTGTAGTTGATCACAAACCAGCCCCTTAGCCTGCCATCAACCCTTCACTCCCCCATGTGCTTATCCCCATCTCCAGTCCCATCTTTTTCTGTTCCCCCTGCCCTGCTCTGCTGACTGCGTAGATGTTTCTCTGCGAACTGAAAGCAGATGTTCCCATTTGTTCGACGATAGACTTGACTAAAGCCTCCCCTACTGCTCCTGAGACTAGGGATAAAAAGGCTGAAAGGCGGCTGTTTTGGCTCTGATAGGATGCCGCAAGACCTTCAAGCCCATTCAGTTTTCTCCTCAGATAGAGAGCGACTGAAGATGGTCTTTTGACTGGATGAGAGCCAGGCTAGGGCCTGGAAGCTTTGCCCAACCCACACACCCACTGTTCCAGCAGCGTAAAGCAGAGATGATTAAGCATGCCATGGTGCCTCTGGTCTGCAGGACTGACAAATCCCCCCCCCCCCC